AGTTTAAATTTAAAATTTAAATATTTATTGTTTATTTGTATGTTAGAACTTAGAAAAACATAACTTTTTATTATTTTCGTAGGTTGATGAAAAATTTAAATGCGGACAAGAAGTTTATTTTGGTTTATATGAAACTATTGAGAGAATGATCCGAATAGAAATACAAGATTTTTAGTTGATCAACAACTTGAAGCATTCAAGTCTGCTAAGGGCCTTTTTTGGAAGGAGCATGGCAATAGATACTAGAAACAAAAAGCAACCTGGTATCGTTCTCTAGTCTATAGTCTATACTACTTAGAAGAATTTAATTTTTAATCTTAATATAAATCTGAATTTTTGAAATCATTTCTCATTATTGTATCTTTTTTTAGCTCTTTGGTGGAAAGTTATGGAAGAGAGGACAAGAAGTTGCAAAAGATAGCAATGAGGATTTTGATCAAGTGCATACTAAGCGAAGAAATCGTTTAGAACAACAAAGGTTAAATGCACTTGTATTTGTCAAGTACAACCTTCAACTTTGAGATGAGACAAAGATTAGAGAGGAAAAGGAGAGACATATATCCAATCTGTTTATCAGATATTGAATCTGATGATGAGCGGATCACTGAGAAAGAAAATCCATGCTTGCCAGTGGATGGGTCATAGATGAACATACATGAGAGTTTTGCTCTTGATGAAAGAGCTCCAAGTTAAAAAGAAAGAGAGGTATTATTTTTAAAGCTAAACTTAAGTTAATTTTAGTTTAAATATATACATCATGCTTATTAAGTTTTTTTGCCCCTATAGGTCCAAGAAACTTGAATGCCAAAGCCAAACAAAGGAAAATCTTTAGTAAGACAAGAGATGAGAATGAAGATGATGCTGAAGACGTGGAAGAGGATGATGAAGAAGTGGCATTGTTAATAGAGGATGATCATGAATTGAGTGACATTGATCTTGGAGGTGATGAATGATGAATTCAATTTTATGTTCAGTGATTTTAGTCTTTTTAAGCTAGGATTTTGATTTTTGAATTGATTTTGAGGACTATTTGTCTTTAGAATTTCATATGTTGGCTTTTTCATTTTTTTTGGGAGGTCTAAAGCACCTAATATTTACAAACTTTTCATATCCTTTTATACAAAAATTACTTATATATCATCCTTAATAATTATTTATGAATCTTACGATTCACTATTCGTATCTCGCTTTGATAACCATGCTTCAAAACGCAAGTACATATGTTAATACATTTTTACTCCCCTATCACCACTAAGCTAGACCTAGACTAATAAGCATCACGTCACCACATGTATTTATTATTATTTGTTCTACTCCTCTTTGCACTTATCATCTCTCCCGATCACATTTTATTGTTACAAACACTAATAGTATATGAAGAAACAGCCCTACCATCAGAACATTATACCTTGTTGTATGTTCTTGCAGAGAACTGTCTGCTCCTTCTGAACCTGAACCAATAGCTTTAGCATTGCATTGCCAAAATGTTCCCGACGGATCAGTATAATATCTGCATATCAGAAGCCAGAGTCAGCTAAAGATCCACAAAATGAAAGACTTCAACGAGGAACTAGTATCAATAAGACCAGCAACAACAAAATAAATAATTTCATTTGCAGCACGTAAAGATATTAGAGTTCCTATTAACGTATATAGCATAGAATCAGATATTTTTCTTAGGATATTATCATTACGATATTATGAGCCTTTAATACTAAGGCTCCCCTACGTTGTATAAATGCAGCCCTTCTAATGGTGTATAAATACACCCTTGTATCAATTAAGACCAGCAACAACAAAATAATAATTTTCTTTGGAGCATGTAAAGATATTAGAGTTCCTATTAACGTAAATGGCATTGAATCAGATATTATTCTTAGGATACTATCATTATGATATTATAAGCCATTAATACTGAGGAACCTCTACCTTATATAAATGCAACCCTTCTAATGGTGAATAATGCAAGAAATTCATCCCAGTTTTCCTCTAAACTTAATAGAGGATAAAGGAATGGAGCCTAAAAAATGAAAAATTAAAATAAATAACAAGCAGCATTAATTGTGATGTGCATGTCTATAAGACTTATATAGATTGAGCCTTCATAGAGACCAGGATTATCCTAAGCGAAGAAAAGGAACAACTGTGCAAGAAACTGCTAATACCATCAATTATGAGACGAATGCCTTTTAGTATTTTTCTTCCTCTCATTCCTAATCTATGGCATTCTAGTAAAAAGATTGCATCAGATTCTAAGAACAAAGCCTTCCATGAAAGGCCAAAAAGCCCACCCCAAATACTCCTGCAGCAGCAGGCTTCCTTTCTTTTAATTCTGTAAGCCCTTGTAATAATTATTCAACATTTTTCATTTTTATTACTTTTATAAAGTGGGGGATGGGGCACACTAATCATTTTCCATTCCCAAAATCACGTTTTTCAATCAATTCCCTTCTAATCGATGTACCAAATGGGCTGTTGAAACAAATTTCTTCAAGTCTCCAAGGCTTTACAACATTCCACACAAATATCAGGAGGTAATTCCTCATGAACCCACTCAACTAGCAATAAATGATAACTGATAACTAGATTCTTTACCATATGCCACATAAGGGATTCAACTGATAGGATGCCCCCTATTATTACTGTCAGAAATCGTAGCCCAAAATTCCCTCTTGACCATTGCTAGAATATCTTGTATTCAAGGCCCTAACATCTTGGCACAGATCATAAGCGACTTGACTTTTATTCTGCATTAATTACCTATCAACGTAATCGATTCCTGCCTAATTGTAAGAAAAGCCCAGCATCCTATATGAGCATTGGTTACCTATCAATAATATACACACGAAGTATTCCAGTCTACCCCTCTCTCTCTCCACGTTCAAACCTATACTATCCAATAATTACCTATAGTCGGAGAAAGAAAGACATAGTAGGATGTACACCCTATCGCTTTGAATCGAGGTGAAATATTTTTCTCATAGAATCATCAGTAGTAATGACACATGGGAATTAGGAATAGGGTAGTTTGGGGATGTAGGAATTAAGACTATAAATGGGGGCTTTGATGGGTGTAATGGGTGTTTAGTGAATTAGTATTTTCTTGTCTTTTGGTCTCTTCTCCCTTTCCAATGCTAACAAAGGTATCAAAGCCTAGCCTCTGGCCACAGTCGCCGTTGCCAGAAGGTCCCTCAATGATTTTCAACAACACCATTATGGCAGTGCCAAACTCTATCCATGAAGGCCTTGACGACTTGGCACGTCGCCTTAAGCTTCACCAAGCCACCTTCACTTCTATCAACAACCGTTTGGACCAGAATGCTCTCGCTATCACTGACCTCAAGCACTCTTACAGTAATGCACTTACGGCATCTTATCTATGTGATTTAGGCTCCTCAAGCATATATGGACCCAAACACCTTTGGATTGATACGGGGCGTACAGTCATTGAAGTATGTTGAATGGATGTAGGGTGTGCATTCCTGAAGATTCAGTGTTGGGGGTCACTTGGGCTCAAATAGAGGATGACTTTGGGCTCCTGGACTAAAGGACTACTGGAGGAGGCTTCGGTTTTGATGCTCATTAATTTTACTTCAAATTTCTTTTCACTTTTATGAGTTTGCAACTATGTTTAAAACAATAATAATAATAATAAGGAAGGAGAAAAGAAGACAGAGAGCTAGAGAAGGAGTTTTAGTTTTAAGTGTTTTTTTTCCCCACTGCTTTTGTACTGATGCTTGAGTGCAAGGATCTTTTCCTTGGGGGGGGGGTTACATTGATACATGGAATTAGGGATAGGGTCAGGGGTAGTTTAGGAATATACGTATTAAGACTATAAAAAGGGGGCTTTGATGGGTGTAATGGGTGTTGAGCGAGTTAGTATTTTCTTGTTTTTAGTCTCTTCTCCCTTTCCAATGCTAACAAGTAATCTAAAGTATTGCTGTATGAAGAAGATAGGCAATGAATCTTTTATGAAATTCATGCGATTCTGAAGTCTTTGCGTGTATATGAAGTTAGATTCTGACTTGTTCCCATAAATAATTCACCTACTGTTATTCTCATTACCCTCAGAGTCTGACTTGTTCCCATAAATGACTCACCGTTATTCTCATTACCCTAATTCTATCATTAACCCTGAAGACCTTTGCTTTCATGATGGATCAGCAAAGCTAAAACATTGCTACAATGAAATAAAGAAAAACTGAAAGAACCGACAAGGGCATGAACAAGAGGTAGGAGGGAACAGTTTAAAAAGTACTACCTCGGGTCCTAAATATAAAATCTAGTTTCCAGAGGTAGCACATAAAGAGGAAGGCTGAGAAAGAAGGGAGTAGGAAGAATTTTCGTAAGGTTTGGTGGAAAGCCAACCTCTTCATAGTTGGCAACCCTGTTCTGTTATTGAAGGAACTAGCCTTGCATCTTTTTGTGCTTGTAGTGTGTATTGTGAACAAATGCGTGTCCTTTTTTTTTTTTTTCTTTTGAGTGAGATTCAAGGAGAGTGATCCTCTTATAGTGGTTATCTACTAGCTTTTTCCAGAAAATATTTCTACATTGATATCGGCACTCAACTGGTTCGCCATACATCATGTAATGCATGCATTCTTGTTGACGGGAGGTTCCAAACAGAAATCTTCCTCTAACCTCAAGCAGACAATAGATAGAATACACCCTATTGTACCTCGTGAGAGATGTGCCAAACCAAGGGAAAAGGAAAAACAAGGAATAGATAATGGTTAAGAGAACAAAAGCATGCGATTGAAAAACCTTATGGGCGTACAGTTTGTTCTAAGGTGATACTAATAAATATTCTCCACAAATTCACAAGCCCATGCATTAAACATATATAAATTGCATTCTACTGCCATTAAAATGAGACAAACAATCAGTGACAGCCATAATATTGTAGTACACGTCACAAGTAGCCATTGCACAGTAAAATGAAAAAGGCGTACTCACAAACTAGGTCCATTCTCATCATGGCCTGCAATGAGGAGAGACACTCCAAAGGGTCGTGACTGTCAAGACGAAGAAAAAATATAGATCATACGTTAACATGCATCCTTGGCAGATTTGGAAGGGGAAAAAAAACGTTAAAATACTGGAGCAACCAAATAAAAATAAGGATATTTTCCAATAGAAAGGAAGGCATTAATGGCAACCAGTCTATATTTTAGAAAATTCAAATTAATTACAAGAATTAAGATGAAATAGGATCAGAGCAAGCATAAGAAATGAGGATAGGAGATGTCAAAGAAAGTATGAGAGCTAATAGAACCTTTACTAATGAATCTATCGACATTACCAAACCCTAACTAGTAAGGATGTATAAAACTCCGGATGCATTTCGAAACACAGGATAATAGGAAATTTTAAAATTCAAGAAGGAAGATCCTAAAAAAAGATAACTCATTCAAATTCTGACTTTAAATTTTAGAATCTTATTTTTTATATTTATCCATAACTCCTAATTTACAAATAATGAATATCGTTTTTTAATCTCTTTTCAACATCTATTGTTCTCTCCAAGATGGAGAGAACTTGATCTCATGTCTTAGGGTAGTTTCAAATAAATTTGACGTAACAAACTCGTTTAGATTTGGCAAAAGGTGCAGTTAAATCTGAATGTAGTATTCTAATGACTTAACTTCAAATTACTATTCAGAATTAGAATGACTTCATTCTCTAAAAACGCATGACATGCATACCCATACATCATCAAAACTTAAGTGATGATATGTTCAAAAAGACTTGTCGAAACTTGAGCGAATGAGATGCCCCAATCCCATATTGAGTAGCATAAGATGCTCAATGAGTTAAGACTTATAGGGTAGACTGTCCCGCCTCAATAGTGAGCTTTTGGGGGAGGCTTCCCCATCCAATTGAATAAGCAATCGGTGGCAAAGCTGGTGGTTACCAGTAACCCACCACCCTTGGCTGGCAAGGAAGTCAAATGCCATGATGTTAGCTCTCCGAAGATGAGGTGCATCAGGCCCAAATTGAATAGTATCAGAAACTCAATAGGAAACTCATTTGCGTTACTTCTCCAATCTCAATAGCTAGCTTTTGGTAGAAGGTTACCCATCCCAATTAAGTGCCACACACCACCAACTAATTTTGTTTTTTTTAGCAAAAGCCACCACCAATTAATATTTATCAATTTACAGTTCATAACTTATGTATAGTATATTTGGAGGAAGAATTAAGCCAAGGAAACAAACTCATCTCACAATAATTTATTAATAACAATTGTTACAGCACTTCAACTCCCCATGAATTCATCCATTCTAATCATTCTTACCCAAAGTTAATATATTCCAATCCTTTGAGGACATTATTTATGTGACTCTAAGGTGTCATTCCTAATTTTCCATTTATCTTAGATAAATCCTTGAACTTCAGCTATCTAACCCTTGCACAGCATGCATTTGCAGCTTCACTTGTTTACAATCTTTTCCAGAGTAACTTGCATCTCTTGAGTGTACATGACTGAAAATTAAGGTGTTTTTCAGAAACTAATTCAAACATCAAATTTGATCCTCAAAAACAATGCAAAGCACACATTTTCTGCAAGAACATGATGAATAAAAGCAGCTCCAATCTTTAAAAAGTACAAATAATTCTTACCTAATTACCTTCATCTTTACCACATTTTTTTTACATGGAATCACTAAGCAATCGAACATTCTGTCCCAAAGATACAACATCACAGACATCTAAGGCACAACACTTAACTTTAAGGTTATCCTTCAATTACACAAGCAAGAGGCGCATTCTCCATCATCCAACCAATTTATATCTACCAGTTAAGCTCATGAAAACGAATACACAGACCACTGACACTGAATAGGCATAAAAGACACTTATTCCGGAGTATATGCAAGTTACAAAGCCACATAGCAACAACTGCTTATAACATGTGCCCATATTATGCATACCATGTAACATCAAATGGAACGCAGCATATATTGAGAAAGCCAAGTTGTTCTTACCATTGATTCTTCATCGCCTTCACCAAATCGCAAGGCTAGATCACATAGAGCTTGGGTTGTAGACTCTACAGTCATTGGCTCCCCATAGGAGAACCTATGATTCTGTGAACAATAACATGATACATGTAAATCAAATAATCAGCTAACAATAAAAGAAAACAAGGAACAGCCACAGAACCTGAGTTTCCACTCGTGCATGCTCAACAAGTGTTCGAGCATCAGCAATTAGTCCACTCATTGCACAACCTATGTGCTGATCAATTTCCATAATTTTCTCAACACTGCTTGGCTCCTGCAAGAGAAGTTCAGGCAAAAAAATTGAAGTCAGTCGCACAAATATATTTATACCACAGCCCAAAGAATATGTGGCTTGAATTGAGTGGATATCATTAGAAATTGTTAGTAATGGACCTTGGGCCTAAAACCCTAACCTAGCTTTCAAGTTTTCTACCTAATTAACCTACGTTACTAAGGTGCCGTCAAGATAGATAGTATTAAATCTGTTAGATATTATTTTGATTTTTTGCATCTGATTGTATCCTAGAATCTCGGCCTATCCCTAGAATGTCGTGATCTCAGTCACTCTTGACTACTCCCATGTATCTATTTACACCGCTGGCCATTCTTAATAAGATGCAACATATTTTTATCACAAAATCACACAGAAACATATAGCAACATTTTGAGATCTTCCCCTCATAAGTTAAGCATAGACAATAATCATATTTCTTAGACCAAACAGAACACCATATAACTGTAGATTAAGTTAGAATATAAAATAGATATTATGTCCATTTCTATTAGAACCTAAAGATAATAACATCTTTCACACGATGAAAAAAAGGTGAAAGAAAACCAAGGTTAGAAATATTAAATGTCAAGGTACAAACACAATTTAGCTACCGCCCAGTATTATTATTAATATCACAACAGAGCCAGAAGTAAAATAATCTCAAAAGAATATATTTTCGTGAAATAAATAATGATGCAAACACAACCAACAGAATGACCCACAAAGTACAATTTTCATCAAGTAAATCTACATCAAATTTCAACACGCAATTTTCTTACATATATACTACTCATCACCTGCTTCAATAACAGAGCTAGCGTCGCATTTCATAAAAATGTTTTTAGCCAGTGACACTACAAAAATGCAATTTGGTAAATAAACACACCAACAGGGGTGAAGTGATACGCTTTTCAACTGCAAGGACAACACCTTCTTTTGTCTTCAACCCAATTGCAGTTGATCCCAGCTGCAGCCAACAAAAGCCAATTATAATTTACAATTGATGCATATTATTACGCCAGCACAGGATCAGAAGAAACAAAACACCGGAAAAAGTCATAAACTGCTCACTCCCAATTAGCTGTAACAGCTCAGAAAATAAGCAAATAACAGATATGGGAAGCATGAAATAAGCCTAGCCTCCCCATGCTCCACTATTGTTAGTAGGGGCTTGGGCAAAATTTAGGTCCTAGGACAATCAGAGTTAATATGTTGATTTAATCCTAGATAGCAGCATATTCTCCTTTTTAAATTTTGAATTGTTGATTTGATTGTGATTCCCAATTATCATGTAATCAAGGCTGAAACCTGGTACAAGCCTATAAATATTTGTTTCAAGTCAATGAATAAACAATCAGTTTTTGCATCAAATACTTTAATTATTAACCAAAAAGTTCCAAAATATAAATATGATTCATATGAAAAAATGAGAGGGATTGATCACATAGAAATAATATGTCTTAACCATGGGGGAAAAAATAGAACGGAAATGAGAGATCACTGTGAAGATCACCGTACCTTGATGGCCTCAATTGCATATTCAACCTGAAAAAGCCGGCCTTCAGGAGAAAACGTATTGACTCCACGGTCATACTCAGTCCTTTCTCACATCCAAACACAACAAACAAAAGATTCAGATGGTTCCAGAAGAAACTCCATATCAACTTGTAAATACAGGGCTGAAGAAAGCGAGAGAGAGAGAGAGAGAGAGAGAGAGAGAGCATATCTTGCGTTAAAGAGAAAAACCGGGATTCACCTTGTTAGAAACATCTTCGTTCTGATTGGATGAGATCACTAAATAACACAGAAAGGGAGGAGAGGAGATTAGGACGAAGATAAGGAATTAAAGCAAGGAGAAAGAACACAAGAAGTCAACAAAACATCATTAGAATTCAGAGAACGTGGATAGAACAGAAAAGGAAAAAAAGAATTTTGGAACGGGGAGGACAAGGGTGAGCAAAAAAGGAAGAGTCACGTGGCAGTGCATTAGCCCGGGGGCTGGTCACAGTAGCCCGAGGTTTGGTCTATTTAGGTGAACAGCCCGAAGGCCGGTCCAGCCCATCAAATAACTTGTTCACAGTGGTGCAGTTGATCTAGTCTAGGTCCAGATTCTGAAATTTTCCTATTTTTTTTTTTATTACCAATCAAAGTCTAAACAATACACACACGCACACACAAAAGAACTCTAAAGCAACGACCAAAGTCCGTAACCTAACATCAAACATCAAAGTTCATTACACAAAAGCAAATATCAAATGATAATCAATCTCAAAGTATTATAATTTACAACAGTACCAGACTCGTCAAAGTGACAATATACCTCTAATAATATGAACATGAAATAAGAATAGAACAAGAATAATGACAGGGAGTCAGGGACAACAGAAAAAAAATAACACTCCCATCACATTCCAACAACAAATAAGATACAAATCTGAAATTGACAGGGACAATATAATACAAAAAGATTACTCATTTTGATATTCACATATATGTACACATCAGCCACATGCATCAATATATATACATATCAACATTGAAACTGTTCAAACTTTTAAAGTTCTAATACACTCGTAAAAGCTAATTTTGGCACCGTTCATGACTCTAATTACACGATTCAATCCTCAAGTTTTCCGTTATATCTGACTGGTTTATTTGGCAAATGAATATCAGCGAATGGTCATAGTCTTCTCATAAATTCGTGGACTAATACCACATTAAAATCCAACAACTAACAATAAACAACTTACTCCTCATTCTAACTTCATTGCGAGGCTTTTCTCAAACTTCAACGCACTTAACTTTCATCACAACAATTTTTTGGCCTATATTTTCTTAGAAGCATTATTTGTGGGTAACTATGCATAAAAAATATGAATACAAGTGTCCCTCAATCGATTCAGATACTGATATTACAATACAGAAATTATTACGGTTCTATGTTAATTAATATGCACTTAGGAATTACCACCCAAAGAGTGGAACATACAATAAGGGGAGAAAAAATGTTATCAGCAGGAAATTTCATCATATTTCAGACACTTCTAAGTGAGAGAGAAGGGGGGCAAAAGCCATATTTATCACCTTATCTGGTACAGTAGGGACGGAAGTGCCGAGCAGCGGCGAGCAACAGTGGCGACAGGCCGAGAACTTGAAGATGAAAGAGAAGGGGAAGCCGAGAACTTGAAGACGAAGGAGATGGAGAAGAAACGTCGAACGCTAGACAAATGGAAGCTCCTCGCTCGGCCTTACGCTGTCATGCAGTAGCAGATTCAAGCAAGAGAGGAAGAAGGAGGAGGAGACGCGATCTCGGGTCCGCCGCTCGCAAGTGGAGAAGGTCGGGAGGGAAGGGAAGGAAAATCGCAGATGGGAAAGAAACGAATTCGGGGGTGATCGCATGGAACCGGCACTGTTTGGATGCACTTGCAAACCATGGCTTGGAAGCCTGATTTGCACAAAATGCTATCCAAACACCCCCTCAAAACCAAAACCATGATTTTGGGCCAAAACCATAGTTTGAAAAAACAAAAAATTTTGTTTTTAAAGAAAAAAAGAGAGAGTATAAAGCCTATAGGATATGTATCTTGTTATTTTTTTTATAAACATATTTTTTTATAAACATATTTAATCTTATATTTATATATATATACATATTAATTATTCATTAATTATATTATCTTATGTGTTATTAATTATGTTAATAAAAAATATATTATTAACAATTTTATTCCACTAAATTAAAATATATCATAAAATCTATTTTTTCTGTAATTATCATATTAACTTATTTCTTTTTTTTAGTAATTTATATATATAAAAAGTGCTTCTGATAACAACTATCCAAACACTCTCACTTCTCAAAATCACTTTTTCATAAAATCTATTCTTTCCAGAATTTATTCTTCCCAGAATCTATTCTCCAGAATCACTTTTCCAAATCACGGTTTGGTTTCATCCAAACACACCCCCAACCATGTTTGGAAAATAGCTTTCGCAAATTTTAAAAAAATATATTTTGAGAATAAATTTTGAAAAAAAAAATTTTAAGAATAGATTTTAAAAACTGATTTTAGTAAAATGAGAATATTTTAGATGGTTGTTATTAGAATTTTTTTATATACAAATTATTAAAAATAACATAAATCAATGGGAAAAAGACAGTAAAATACCCTCAAAATTACTAAATAATAAATTAGGGTAGGTAAATTTCAAAATTCCAATTCAGACCCCAAGTACCATTTTGGAATTTTCAAATCTTGTAAAATGACAACATTGTCCTTACTGTCGGTGACTACTTCATATAGCTATTCACTACTCTATTTTAACTATTAATAACTTTTGTTTTCAAAGTTTCAATGATATTTTTATATAGCTATTGGCTACACAAGAGTAGTAAATCGCATTACTGGAGTAGTCAATAGTTTAGCAAAGTAGTCATCAGAATTTAAAAATAAATGTACTCAATAGCTAAAAAAGTAGTCAATACATAAGCAAGAGTAGTCATCAAAATTTAAAAATAAATGTAGTCAATAGCTAAAAAAGAGCAGTCAATACATAAGAAAGAGTAGTCATTGGAGCTCCCCTGACCAGTCACTGGAGTTCCGGTAACGTGTCATCAAAGTTCAAAAATAAATGTAGTCAATAACTAAAAAAGAGTAGTCAATATATAAGAAAAATTAGTCATTGGAACTCCGACAACCAGTCACCGGAACTCTGGTAACCGGTCGCTGGAGCTCCAGTGGTTGGTCGCAAGCAGGGTCGTCGGCGTCAGAGCTTCGGCGGCCGGAATTGCTGATGTGGTAGTATTTAAAAAAAGTTTAAAAAAAGTAAAGGGCATTTGTGTAATTTTACAACATTTAAAAAATCCAATAGTACCTGGGGTCTAAATTGGGATTTTGAAATTTATCTACCCTTTTTTTTCATTTAGTAATTTTGAAGGTATTTTAGTATCTTTTTCCCTAAATTAATATGATAATTAGATAAAAATATATTTTATTTTATATTTTTGTTTAAAATAATAAATGATATATGAAAAAATTAATTAATATTACCTTTGATCCTTAGTATGAGACCTAATCGGATATTTATATTGATTTTGAATATAAGACACCAATTTATCTTGTCTCACACATTTATCCATTTTTTTAAAGTAGTCCCGTGCAAATTTGCACATGTTAAATGTTCTATCAAATAGTAGTCTCAATACACATCATTAACAAGTATCTGAGAGAATGCAACACCTATTTATTATAAATAAATAATTTAATTAATTTTTTAATACTGATAAATTAGTTGTTTAGCTCTTATATTAAGGATCGAACCCAAAGCAAAGTTTTATATCTTCAAAAGCAAAAAAAAAATTACTTCATAAAAAACCATGGTTTTATACCCACAACCATGGTTTTCAAATCAAAAGTAATTTCACAAAAAATTAAGATACTTATTACTCTTATTCAAACCATGGTTTTAAATTTAAAATTGATTTTGAGAAAAAATATGGTGTTTAGATAATTTTTTTCCTCAAAACTATGGTTTAAAGAAATATCTAAACACCCCTGAAATAAATTTCACGGCGTTCAGTGGAAATGGTTTTAAAAATCATTTTAGGGCCCGTTTGGTACCTGGAATTGATTTTGAAGGAAATAGAAATGGATATGGATATGGATATTGAAATGGAAATGGATATGGAAATGGGGCTTAAAAATATGTTTGGTATACACATGGAATTTTCAAAGAAAAATACCAAAATGCCCTCCTCTAAAGACTCATTCTCTCCCACCGAAAAGTTAAATCAACCCAGCTTCACACAAAACTTCATCGCAACCCAGAGACCACAGTCTTCTTCTTCATCGCCATTTCAGATACTAGTCACGAATCTGGAAAAATCAATTGAGAAACAAACCCAACAATACGGGTACAGACATCTATTAGCAAATTTTCAAAGGTCATATGAATCAGATAGATCATCTAAGTCTGCAATTTTATTTACAAAATTGAATAAAACATTAAGAGGAATCAAACCCAGCAATCAATGCAAAAATAAAAGCATAAATCAACATGAAAAATAAATCTGAAAAATCAGAAGGCAAAAGGGATTTTTTTCCCCTTTTGGCAAGAGTCCTTGCTAGCCAAAAACCACACACGATGGAGGTGACATCGGAGACAAGGATGATGGTGTAATGCGCGACCCATCTAGCAACTTCAAGCTGGGGATTGAAGAAATTAGAATCGAACACCAATATGCACCCATAATCAATTGTAACTCATAGAATTGTGAGGAACCCAAATGGAATCGTGACTTAGATCTGAGAAACCCAGAAGAAATAGTGAACTCACAATCAAGGATGAGCAATCAGAGAAGATCTACAGTTCTCCGTCATTAAGGAGAAGGGTGGGAGGTCGTCATTGCTGTCATCCTCACCATTGCCTCCCTGCTGCCCTCGCCGCCACCTCTACCTTCTTCACCCTTTGGCATTTTCAAAGATCTAAAGAAGTCGAAGACAGACAGAGCGGAAGAAGTCAAAGACGAAGTAGAGTGATCTGGATCTATAGAGGAGATGGTGGGGGCTTTGTCAGTGATGGGGTCTGAAGTTTGAGGGGCATAAGCTTGCTAGCGGTAGGGGGAGGAGATCGCCGGCAGCAGGATCAGAAGCTTGAGGGGGTAGTAGTTCGCGTGAAGCGTGGAGGGGCAAAAATGAATAATGTTACATGGAATTGGAAATCTTCGGGTTTTTTGATGGAAGCCAATTCCAGTAGTTTGGCTTCCATGTGGAGCCCAATTCCATGTGCGCTTAGCGTACCACACATCCAATATGATAGAATTCATTTCCATTTCCATTTCCAACCCCCTCAATTCCAGCATACCAAACGGGGCATTAGGCATTGTTTGCTTGGAAGGTTTTTGAAGAGAGGAAAGGAAATGGGAAAGGAGGAGAAATTGTGTTTAGTTTAAAAAAATGGAGCGAAGGAGAAGGAAAAAATTTTGTCATTTAGTGCTCCCCACCCTTCTTTTGCTCCCCTCTAAAATTGGGATTTTTTTGGAGGGGAAAGAGATATTATATTTTATGTTGACTAAATTACCCATGTCAATTTTTTAATATTTCAAGTTTATCCTTTTTAGTAAGAACTTTTTTTAACTCTTTGCTTTTTTTTACTCTTTTTTTCTTTTCAGCCCCTACTATTCTTCTATTGATTTTTTTTACTCCTCAAAGATTCTTTTTTTTTCCTGCATATTTTCTTACTCTGATTTCATCATTTCTCACGTTCTCTACCATTAATCTTCCATATCTTTTCCTCTTGTCTGATCCTTCATCTCATTAATCTCAATTTTATTTTTTTCCACAAAACTCTATTTATTATCTAATTAAGTATGTGAGGTTACGCACATCATGTAATTAAGGATGGAATAATTCAAAATTTGGAGCATAAATTTATTTATAATTTATATAATATGCTAAAGATTATAATTTTTTATTGACATTTATTTTGACATATGATTATTTATAATCTATTTGTTATGTCTCAAGGTATCTAGTTTTTTTTTTATATTCACAAATTAGAAAATAATAATTATGATATAATATCATAATAAAATAATAAAGAAATCTAAATAAAGAGGTAAAGACATATTTGTCAACTTATAATTAGCTCTCCTTCCTTCTCCTCCTAAACCAAACAAGACATCTCACCTCCCTTCTCTTTCCCTCCAACCAAACAAAACTTGTACCCTCCCCTCCCCTCCCCTCCCTCCCCTCCATTGAACCAAACAAAGCCTTAGGTGAGGGCTGGTTTCGTTCAAGGAAAATTTGGGCTCGGGAAAGGAAAATCCAAATTTTTCATTGGTGGCGTTGGTTTGGTTAGAGTGGGAGTACCATCTTGACCTCGCCTTCTTAGAAGCGAGGAACTTGAGAAAGAGACTAGTCTTTTGGCTTGTTCCAGCGTAGATGATGAAACTCTTCGATCAAAACGATTTGGGGAGACAGGGAGGGACCAACTTGTTAAGCTATGTTTTAACCAGCCGAGGTCTCTATTTGTCAACAAAGATGACATTTTTTTCCCTTTTTTTCCTCCAACCAGCCACAAAAAGGAGTCCTTGTAAATAAAGAAGAAGAACAGAGAAGAAAGAATATCAATGAGAGAGAGTATTTCTCTTTCTATTCAATAGGGTACTGAATACATTGTACATGGCCTCTATTTATAGGCACGGCTTTACATCTTTGATAGAATCTACAGATATAAAGATAATTGCAGATAATGGGGATAATGGGAGTTACTGAAGATATTGGGAGATAAGGGAGATAATGATAGATACATGGACATCCATAAAGATATTATATTCATAACACTCCCCCTTGGATGTCCATAACTAAATATGTGCCTCGTTAAAAAACTT